GACGACGCATGACGGACGAAGACGGATAGCAATAGGTCACTTGAGCTTAAGCTCAGGTGACCTAAAAATGCAAGTTGCATTCTGCCCCTAATTCATGATGCCAAAGTATTTTACACATACTATGTTATGGTGGTATAATTACATCTAAAATTCAAAAATGAATTGCCAATACTAACCATCAGTACAAATACACCACAAGAGCTTCCATCTTCTTGCACAGAAGATTGTGTCCGACCTCTGGTCCACTTGATGGGGTTCTCGTTGTCCAAGAGGGAAAGTCGAGCATCCATGAATTTCCTGATTAAAAAAACATATAACATTTAGTAAGCAAGTACAGATTGAATTTAAAGAGAATGTTTTCTTATACACAAGCAAAACAATTCGATTTGAATATTTCCAAATGAAATATAAAGCTATGTTAAATTAAATAAACTTTAATCAATTACCAGGTTATACAGGTAACCATGGTTAACAACATATGTAAAAAATGTGCAGAAAAATTCTTATATGTATTACACATGAAAAATGCTTATAAAATCTCTTTTTACCCTGTTTTACATGTACATTTGACAATTGATAAGTCTTTAAACCTTTTTAAATAATGTATCATCAGTTTGACTTGGTCATCCTTTCATTTATGTTTTAAATGTTACACATTCAGAGGCATCTAAAATAGATTGCTGTACAATATGAACTTAAATATATGTGAATAAGAAATCACCATATTATCAAACTTATACTCAAATAACTAAACTTACATCCAATGAAGGAAAAATGTTCTTGCTCTGGATTCACTTGGAACAGAATCAAGTATGGTGACCTCTCCAGTGATCATGGATGCCACAAGTAAAAACCAGTGTTGCTGATGGCAGATTGGCAAGAGAACATGACAGAAGTTCTCAAGAGGCACCTAAAAAAGAAAATCAACTTTGTCACAACTATACAGTAAAGCATGATGACATATGATGAAGAAATACTTCAGAAAAGTTTATGTTGCACATTCCTAGATAGATGTTCGGGATTGTTTCTTTTCATGATTTTTCTTATAGCTGAAGCCATATGCATGAATTTGGTATAGATATGATGGACTAAGAAATAATATCATCAGTATATTTAATGTTCCTTATTGTATTAACTTCAACATCACCACATAGGTATGAAGCTCCTTATGTCTGTTATTTTATCAATTTTATGAATGAATGTATATGTATATTGAATAAACACTTACTTTGGGATACAGCCATGATTGGTAATTCTCAGTCTCCCACTTTAAGGCAAGAAAGCTGGGCAAGATGTGGCACGTGCGTGGATTTCTGTCATTGCACTCCTTACTCAGTAAGCCCAAGTATGCATGTACCACCTAAAGATAATTCAAAATTTATCACTTAATGAATGCAAACAAATGTTTTTCAGGTTTTTTCTGGTATCGTTGATGATCTCTGGTCTGCCTGAGACAGTTGACACCATAATTATTTTGTAAACCCATTCATAATGCAAAATCTATGTCAGTGACCAATAAATAGTTATATACAAATTTAAAAAATGGATCAAAACTGACTTTAGATTTTGTTAGCAGCTGCTGAAGCCTTAACACTCATATAAAACTATTTTAAAAAACCATACTGCATTTACATATGTATCAAGAAGGACATTTTACCTGATCATTTAGCCATGCCATGGGACGTAGAGTTCGAAGATCGTTTGGTGACAAGCTAACATTCCCCACATGGACATTTTCTCTTGGTATTGGCATTGGTTGTGTTGCTGCTGTGCTGAATGGGATAGGCCGTACAGTTTCCAAAAGAGCTGTGATGTCAGTCTTCTCATGGAAAGCAAATGTCAACACTGAGGCAGCCAGCTGCAATGTGTACTCATTTTCCATTAGATGAATATCTTTTTTGGCAGTGATGTACCAAGTTGTGTACAAGTCGCAGCACTCTGACAGGTCTGCTTCATGTTTCTGTAATTGTATTGTTCTCTTATCCCTAACAGATATAGTAGTACCGGTATTGTTCTCCTATCCCTAACAGGTATAGTAGTACCGGTATTGTACTCCAGTCCCTCCCAGATAAAGTATCACCGGTTTTATACTCCAGTCCCTCCCAGATATAGTAGTACCGGTATTGTACTCCAGTCCTTCCCAGATATAGTTGTACCGGCCGGTATTGTACTCCTATCCCTAACATATATAGTAGTACCGGTATTGTTCTCCTATCCCTCCCAGATATAGTAGTACCGGTATTATACTCCAGTCCCTACCAGATATATGAGTACCGGTATTGTACTCCAGTCCCTAACAGATATAGTAGTACCGGTATTGTTCTCCTTTCCCTAACAGATATAGTAGTACCGGTATTGTACTCCAGTCGTAGTACCGGTATTGTTCTCCTATCCCTAACATATATAGTAGTACTGGTATTGTACTCCTATCCCTAACAGATATAGTAGTACCGGTATTGTTCTCCTTTCCCTAACAGATATAGTAGTACCGGTATTGTTCTCGTAGTACCGGTATTGTACTCCAGTCCTTCCCAGATATAGTTGTACCGGCCGGTATTGTCCTCCTATCCCTAACATATATAGTAGTACCGGTATTGTTCCCCTATCCCTCCCAGATATAGTAGTACCGGTATTGCACTCCAGTCCCTCCCAGATATAGTAATACCTGTATTGTACTCCTATCCCTACCAGATATACGAGTACAGGTACTGTACTCCAGTCCCTCCCAGATATAGTAGTACCGGTATTGTACTCCAGTCACTCCCAGATATAGCAGTACCGGTATTGTACTCCTATCCCTAACAGATATAGTAGGACTGATCGTTCTCCTATCCCTCCCAGATATAGTAGTACCGGTATTATATTCCAGTCCCTACCAGATATATGAGTACCGGTATTGTGCTCCAGTCCCTAACAGATATAGTAGTACCGGTATTGTTCTCTAGTCCCTAACAGATATAGTAGTACCGATATTGTCCTCCTATCCCTAACAGATATAGTAGTACCGGTATTACTATATCTGGGAGGGACTGGAGTACAATACCGGTACCACTATATATGTTAGGGATAGGAGAACAATACCGGTACTACGACTGGAGTACAATACCGGTACTACTATATCTGGGAGGGACTGGAGTACAGTACCTGTACTCGTATATCTGGTAGGGATAGGAGTACAATACAGGTATTACTATATCTGGGAGGGACTGGAGTGCAATACCGGTACTACTATATCTGGGAGGGATAGGAGAACAATACCGGTACTACTATATTTGGTAGGGACTCGAGTACAGTACCAAATATAGTAGTACCGGTATTGTTCTCCTATCCCTAATCCTATCCCTCCCAGATATAGTAGTACCGGTATTATGCTCCAGTCCCTACCAGATATATGAGTACCGGTATTGGACTCCAGTCCCTAACAGATATAGTAGTACCGATATTGTCCTCCTATCCCTAACAGATATAGTAGTACCGGTATTGTACTCCAGTCACTCCCAGATATAGCAGTACCGGTATTGTACTCCTATCCCTAACAGATATAGTAGGACTGATCGTTCTCCTATCCCTCCCAGATATAGTAGAACCGGTATTGTACTCCTATCCCTAACATATATAGAAGTACCGGTATTGTTCTCCTATCCCTAACATATATAGTAGTACTGGTATTGTACTCCTATCCCTAACAGATATAGTAGGACTGATCGTTCTCCTATCCCTCCCAGATATAGTAGTACCGGTATTATACTCCAGTCCCTAACAGATATAGTAGTACCGGTATTGTTCTCCTATCCCTAACATATATAGTAGTACTGGTATTGTACTCCTATCCCTAACAGATATAGTAGTACCGGTATTGTACTCCTATCCCTAACAGATATAGTAGTACCGGTATTATACTCCAGTCCCTACCAGATATATAAGTACCGGTATTGTACTCCAGTCCCTAACAGATATAGTAGTACCGGTATTGTTCTCCTATCCCTAATCCTATCCCTCCCAGATATAGTAGTACCGGTATTGCACTCCAGTCCCTCCCAGATATAGTAATCCCTGTATTGTACTCCTATCCCTACCAGATATACGAGTACCGGTATTGTACTCCAGTCCCTAACAGATATAGTAGTACCGATATTGTACTCCTTTCCCTAACAGACATAGTAGAACCGGTATTGTTATCCTATCCCACCCAGATATAGTAGTACCGCGGTATTGTACTCCAGTCCCTCCCAGATATAGTAATACCGGTATTGTACTCCTATCCCACCCAGATATAGTAGTACCGGTATTGTACTCCTATCCCACCCAGATATAGCAGTACCGGTATTGTTCTCCTATCCCACCCAGATATAGTAGTACCGGTATTGTTCTCCTATCCCTAACAGATATAGTAGTACCGGTATTGTACTCCAGTCACTCCCAGATATAGCAGTACCGATATTGTACTCAAGTCCCACCCAGATATAGTAGTACCGGTATTGTACTCCTATCCCTAACAGATATAGTAGTACCGGTATTGTACTCCTATCCCACCCAGATATAGCAGTACCGGAATTGTTCTCCTATCCCACCCAGATATAGTAGTACCGGTATTGTTCACCTATCCCTAACAGATATAGTAGTACCGGTATTGTACTCCAGTCCCTCCCAGATATATAGTATTACCTGTATTGTACTCCTATCCCACCCAGATATAGTAGTACCGGTATTGTTCTATCCCACCCAGATATAGTAGTACCGGTATTGTACTCCTATCCCTAACAGATATAGTAGTACCGGTATTGTACTCCAGTCCCTCCCAGATATAGTAGTACCGGTATTGTTCTATCCCACCCAGATATAGTAGTACCGGTATTGTACTCCTATCCCTAACAGATATAGTAGTACCGATATTGTACTCCAGTCACTCCCAGATATATAGTATTACCTGTATTGTACTCCTATCCCTCTTCATAGACACTATCATATATCTCCATTTACACATTAACTTTTCATAATTTCAGTTATTGTTCAGTTATTATTGCCATTCTATTTGTAAACGTCTTAGAAAACAATAAAAGAACAAATATCACCAATTTGAATTGAACACTGTTTTAATCAAAGCAAGTTTAAAGACCAAAAACATATACAGGTGAATGTTATTGTTTTATTCACTTTTTTGTGGGTAATCCTAATTTTAATTGAAAAACTATTGTTAACAGACTGGTACATATATATCTATTAAAGTATAAGTTACATACAATAATATAAATCCATAAAGCATAGCGAATAACATATGCAGAAAACAAATACCAGAAACTCAAACAAAACTAATAACTAGTGAATAAAACGCACATATCTTTTACAAAATAGGTTAGTTTAAAAAAGGATCTACTATCAATGAATTTGGTAGAATGAAACTTCAAATGAGTTTTAAGGAACTTCAAATGTCTTATTGTCACAAAGTATTTACCGTTAACAAATTTGGTAGAAAGGAACTCCAAAATGGGTTATTGTCAAAAACTATTTACTGTGAACAAACTTGGTAGAAAGGAACTTTAAAATGACTTATTGTCAAAGAGTATTTATCGATAACAAAACTTGGTAGAAAGGAACTTTAAATGGGTTATGGTCACAAAGTATTTACCGTTAACAAAACTTGGTAGAAAGGAACTTTAAATGGGTTATGGTCACAAAGTATTTACCGTTAACAAAACTTGGTAGAAAGGAACTTCACAATCGGTTATCGTCAGAAAATACTTTCTGTAATTACACTTAGTAGAAAGCAAACTTTCACCACATTCTCTATATATATTTTCTCTTTCTTGGAAAATTTGAACAATTCTACTATATGTACATTTGCGCTGCGATCCACTACTAAAGTATATGAACATCACCATCAGAAATGCATTTCATTTGAGAATGAAAGCAAAAACTCTCATGACGTAACACGTGGTTTACTTATGACGTCATAGATTAACCTTGTTTAATAAGAGTCTTGTCGCTTCGCTTCGGACATTATTGAAAATGCCCCTGCGTCAAACGCTCAAATGACTACGGTTAATTAATGGCGCCACTTTTATCTAAATAGGGCTGTTCCGACAATGTTATTTAAAGGACGACGCATATACAAAACGCAGGTCTGCTGGATAACCGAACTGCTCGGTAGTGAAACGGACGTAAAACTAATCAATCAATCAATCAATTCAAAACGCAGTAAATAAATGAATTATTTAAGATAAATAAAATTGAACAATTGTTCTATGGTGTTAATGTAAATATATGCACTAAACGTTGTTTTTTTCTTTTTCTTAATGCCGGTATGAAAGCAAAACGGTGACATACATATTGCATGAAGCCCGCTAGGGCTAGGGCTTGATATTTAATAAATATAAGTTAATTAAAAAAAGACGCTCAATCCCTATTCAAACAAGAGTTCCGCGAAACGGTACATAATACACCCGTTAGATGTAGAATGAGCAGTTTGCCACAAAGGATCATAACTGCGTAAATAACCCGCAAATAATTTTGGTTATCCCAAGCTTTCATAGAAATGAACCTTCTTATGAAGTTTGAAATGAATCTGTTCAAAATTACTGAAGTTATTGAGCGGAAACTGTTACGGCAATGCTACAAAGGGCCATAACTCTGTAAATAAACAGTGAATAATTTTGGTTATCGGACTTGTCCGAGCTTTCATAGCAATGAACCATCCTATGAAGTTTGAAATGAATCCATTCAAAATTACTGAAGCTATTGAGCGGAAACTGTTTCGGCAATTCTACAAAGGGCCATAACTGTGTATATAATAGGCAAATAATTTTGGTTATCAAACTTGTCCGAGCTTTCATGGCAATGAACCTTCCTACCAAGTTTGAAATTAATCCATTCAAAATTACTCAAGTTATTGAGCGGAAACTGTTTCGGCAATTCTACAAAGGGCCATAACTCCCTAAATAACATGCAAATAATTTTGGTTATCGAACTCTTATGTTCTTTTTTAACTTTTGATTTATATTTGAAATTAAAAGTGCCCGCCTTATATACAGGCCACACAATTTCGTTCAATAATTTGAACAGCGTATTGTCGCGTGCTGATTGGCAAACAAAGTAGTATTTTGAAATTTTAACAAACACTTCAATTTTATTCTACAATTCAGTATCAATACAATTTCGTATAATATGTCTATAGGGTGATTTAAGTTTATCAATAGAAATCTGAGCTGAAAGTTAGATTGTAAATTGTTCGGATTTTTCCCCGGAACAAATTTCGCGCATGAATAAATACAGTGAACACCGTGAATCCGACCTTGACCTCCACGAGGGAGTTATTTTTGGAAGTTAATTCGAAAGTTTCTCTTTGCTCATTTTGTGAAAAATCCAGACGTGAATTTATTTGTTGATTGTATGGGAATCTGACTACAGTCGGTAGATTCTATAACAGCCTCGTTATTTGACATGTCGTGATCAGAAACTGGGGAAACCGTGGTTGCGAGACGCATGAAACTGATATCGTGAGTGAGTGATCTTGCGACGGAGCACAGGGGTTCGTTACAAATGTCTGAAATGTTTATGTGTGCTGTGACTCATATCAATAGATCTGTAACATTTGTCAGTAGGTCTATCGAATATGTGTGTTTCAGACATTTGTAACGAACCCCTGTTGATCAGTGCAGTGTAACAGACGATATTTCTGATAAATTGCATGAGTGTTAAAATTGTTTCCATTGCCGGCATTGGTGATTTCAACCGATGTGCTTTTTGTATGATATTGCAGACATTGGTCTTGTTTTTGTTGCAATAAAATTATTTTTTATTTACTTTTTTCTTTTACAAATAAATTTACAATAACATTGTCAAGTCTCACAATGCCCAGCGATATTTCAGCAGCCGTCATATTTATTTACATTGGATTTTGTAGTTCCGGTTAGTGTTGTATTAATACGCTAATAATTGTGTCTCGTGCTGCATGGTAATAGTCTCATCAACGACACGGCTTTCAAAGAGGCTATATAGTGACAATGCCATGCACATGTAAATATTCAACCTAAGTGACTTAAGTTAATGTCAGTTACAGACCAAACATAACCCTGCCTCAATCCGGGCCAACTTTAGTGATTGATATATTGATATATAAATATTACTTCAGTTAAGGTATAGCATTATATAACAAACAATAGCAATAAGTCTCTTTTCACATGGTACTCATTGTAACATACTAAACATGCTATTGAAATTATAGGAATTTCCTTACTATTTCAGTGAAACATCGGTGTCATACCGTTACTTACAGCTGTTCTACAGTATAATGCTTGGGTTTTGCTGTGTACACATTTCTATGCCAATAGTTTTCAACATCGGCTGTTCTCCTTGTTGTAAATCCCCCCAGCATAAAGATGTTATTAAACAACTACGGTAACAATTACCTCAGTAATATCTGCACTTTTAAATATACTTAAATCCGTTTATATATTGATGTACAATATACCACAACTTTTATAATAACGGTTGAAAATATACAATGTACACAATTGTACTAGCTAATCCTTTTCATTCTAACAAAGATAAACTTAGCCAGATTTAACCAGGTGAAAATGTGACCATGAACATACTATGAACATTACAATAGTTAGGTATTTTACAAACAGTCTTTGCCATCAAAACCTGGGAACATGAAATAATAACACTCGTATTTCAATTGCCAATGCTTAAACATTATATAGGACTGTGTGAAGTGCTAACGTGTGCATGCCACACGTTAGCACTGTAACGCTATAATTCTGAACAGTATTCAAATCTTTACTCATTCTATACAATGTATATTGCTTCATGACAAGGAACCACGACCCTAGAAGCAGAAAACCTATCAGCTTCAGGAATGTATCAAATTTTATGTTAAGGGTACTTTACAAACAGTCACGGCTTGAAATAGTGGACGAATCAAACTTTAGAACAAAAGAACTGTGGACTTTGAGAATATTTGAGTTGAGAACGTCCTCAGAGTTTAAAAGTTTCGTGTTATAAATACCATATTGAACTACGATCATCATATCCAATACCTATAGACCTCGGCCAAGTTAGAATCAGATTTAGTCTCTCCTGTCTGAAAACATTTTCAGGTATGTACTAAATCTTAGTCTATAGTAACGTGATACTAGACATCTGACGGTATGATGTTTGAGTTAACATTCACCTACATGTAAGTCCCAACTCTCGCATGACATTAGAAAAGCACATTTCTTGGTCTCAATTAACGAATGATTTGATGGAATTTGCTTTATCTTCTATGTCATAAAACGTTAACCATGGGGATATTAATCATTCTATATAATAACAGATGTGCGAAGAGCTTAGCTCTGCGCCAGGTCTCCAGTGTCCGTTGACAGGTCTCCACTTTCACAGGGTTCCACCTGGTCCCCATTGTAACCCTGCCTGTAGAGTTGGGCCGGGATACCTCCTGCTCAAATATCAGAAATGAAACCTTTGAAAACGACTCTAAATCAGAGTTTGTTGGTTTCCTAATCCTTTCAATACAGGTAACATGGGACAATTCTTTATAAGCTGCTCTACCTTGAGACATAAAATTCCTTTCGATTTTAAAAAAGAAAACAGAGCTTAAAGTCGATCTTCCTTTGTGTGATGTCAAGGTCCCAAACAGTTTTCAACGCATATGATTCAATATTACTTTGAATGGATTTTTTTCTTTTTTCGACATAAAGTAAAAAATTACACCTATCTAAGCAATGTACATTTGTTAAAAAGAGTAAATAAAACCAAAAGGTTAGTTTGTCTAAGGGTACAAAGTAGGATGTAATATAGGGCCTTTCCCATTCAACATATAGTCAATCAAAGTTACCTTTCATACTCAAAATCTTCTTCTTACTCTATAATATTTTCAACAAACTTGTTAAATATTTGAAGAGTTGATGAAATCCTCTAGAAATATGTTTTAAACAGGATAAATGAGGCTACAAATATTTGCTGTAATTGTATATAGTAGTCGTTTCCACATCTAACTCAATTCTGGAGAAATCTTGTCTCCATGAAAATGCAGAAAGAACTTTCATCAAGGTCAATGAAACTAATTTTCCTGTATTTTACAAAATTTGTATCTAACATGAATGCTTTTAGAATAATTGAGCAGGAACTGGTTTTTAATAGAAATAGAATGCAATGTATCTCGGCTCAAGGTTATTTAGCCCGATGACCACATGTTCCAGGTACACTAGTTTGAAAATATTATGGATAGCTATTGGTTTTACCAACTTTCAATGCTCTATAGACATTTTTTTATTGGTCCAAAGAATAAGAATTATCGACTTTCACGCATAAATTAGTCAGTGAGGACTTACCTTAAGCATTTTTGTGGCATCCTGATTTTCGTATACTAGAGAATAATAGAAAACTCCTTCAAAGGGAGCAGTACTAGATATGAACATCTTTTACTTTAGTATAGTCTCCTATGGTTTCCTTACTAACAAACATATCCAAGAATGCTCCTTACCTTGTCTCTGTTGGATGAACGGCTGTGTATATCCACAAACCTCACAGACTGTACGTGAAGGGTGGTTATTGACAGTGCATCTCCCACACTGCCACTCCCCCTTATGGTTCTGAGAAGGGACAGTCCTTTGGAATTTGAAGTCTGGTGGTGGTTGTGGGGAACAAGAACCTACAACATAGCGAAAGTGTTATTTCTGAAATCAAATTAGAATATAATTTCTCTTTATATTGAATATATCTGTACTGCGATTGAAACAATTTATGTTTTTAAAATATATGACTTCCAATGAATGGTAGGGATATACCAGATGATCGCTGATGAGTGTTGACCATATAAGGTGGTATGGGCTGTGCGAAAGGATCTGTCTGAGGCTGGGCAGCCACTCTGCTCTGCTCTATGTGTGGTGCGCCATTCATCATGGCTACAGGATGATTCACATAACCCGGATGCTGTGGTACTGGTTGGAACTGCGGCTGGAAAGGTCTTTGATATTGCATTGCATTTGCCTCCTTCTCTCTCCTTAGCTAAAACATAAAAGTGTTTCTCAATCTTTTAAAGAAATTTAAAAGCTTGTAACGCAATTATATAATAGAATGCATTGATATCAGAATGATTCACCACAACTATTTAAAAAGTTAATAATCTTTATAAAAAATACCGTATTTTTCAGCTCTGCAATCTGTTGCTGGAGCTTGTCCTTTTCAAGATGGGCTTGTTGGCAATTCGTCTCAGCATGTCTCGCCTGTCAAAAAATAAAAAAGTCAATGAGGTAAGAAGATTATACTATATCCTCTTTCCTCTCAAGAATTGATCAAGTCACAAATATACTGTACCAGTGTACCTGCTTCTAACCTAACGTTTTAGATAATCATCCTTTTTTAATGTTCACACATTCAACAACTATTAGGCTTGACACCTCTTGTAATCAATCATTTCTATTCTGATGTAGTAAAATAAATTAATTTCTGATATAACTTTGTAATTTGTTTCGTCTCATACTTGTCTTTCTTTCTGTTTCAACTGATTCTTCGTGTAATGCAGTTCCTGTTTCACTGTCTCCAGCTCTTCCTTGAAGGTCTCCTTAGTCGCCTGTGCTTGGGCTCGATCACTCCTCTCTCTGTCAAAATCTTCTTGGAACACAGTGAGCTGACGTTTATCAAACAAAAACCACATATATTACGAGAACATATCTCACTTTAATGACCATCTACTATATTATCAGGAGTTACAGTTTAGAAGAAGTTTTATGCTGTTGCAGGAAGCTTATAAAATGGTGGCATTAATATTACATCCATTTGTTTCCGGCGCAAACGATTTTCTGTGATAACAACTACTGTATACTCATAAAATCAATTTACGCCCAGTGTTAATTTCGCCCTTCACATTTAATTACTATGTATAATATGCTGTTTACTATATTAGCTGTAATGATAAATTCGCCTTCATTACAGAGGGCGAAAAGGCGAAAACTAAACTGCAGCAAAAAATTCCTGGTATACAGTATGTAAGTATTGAAAGTGGGGGTTATTAAGCTAACAGTATAGTGCTGGTATTTAGCAGTTTGGACGAGAAGGAAGTTGGATCACATTCCCTCACTGAGGAACATGATGGCTTGTTCAAGCTCGAGTGTTAGCAGATATATCTCTCACGACACCAAGATAATATTACAAAGATAAAGATACCACATGGCAAATTGATGCTTACCTGACATCTAAGCGTGTCATTCTCTACTTGTAGGTCATTTAAAGTTTTGTGATTTGTTACGTTAAATGCAGGAGGTCCCGAGGTTCCCTGTAAACATCAAATTATAAGTATAATTAGGAAGATAACTAAGGTTCATGCAATGCATCTAAATTTCTTTAAAATGTTTAATTATATTGTTTTTCAATGTACCAAGTAGTTTTATTAACAGGTAGAATTTGTATTGAAAGTATATCATACTGCGATATGTAGTGCATTCATATTGTTTTGCAGGATGCCTGGTCGGACCTGCTCCAGCTGTTTTTCGAAAGATTCTGCCTTGACCTTGTAGTGTTGCAGCTCCTCCTTCAGTGCCTGTCAACAAGTGGATAACATTAGCACACTGACAGAGATAACATCGGTACACTGACAGAGATAACATTGGTACACTGACAGAGATAACAGCAGTACACTGAGAGAGATAACATCGGTACACTGAGAGAGATAACATCGGTACACTGATAGAGATAACATCGGTACACTGACAGAGATAACATCGGTACACAGACAGAGATAACATCAGTACACTGACAGAGGATAACATCGGTACACTGACAGAGATAACTTCAGTACACTGACAGAGGATAACTTCAGTACACTGACAGAGATAACATCAGTACACTGACAGAGGATAACATCAGTACACTGACAGATATAACATTGGTACACTGACAGAGATAACATCAGTACACTGACAGAGGATAACATAAGTACACTGACAGATATAACATTGGTACACTGACAGAGATAACATTGGTACACTGACAGAGGATAACATCGGTACACTGACAGAGGATAACATCGGTACACAGACAGAGAAGTACATAAGTACACTGACAAAGATAACATCAATACACTGACAGAGATAACATCGGAACACTGATAGAGATAACATCAGTACACTGACAGAGGATAACATCAGTACACTGACAGAGATAACATCAGTACACTGACAGAGATAACATCAGTACACTGACAGGGGATAACATCAGTACACTGACAGAGATAACATCAGTACATTGACAGAGATAACATCAGTACACTGACAGAGATAACATCGGTACACTGACAGAGATAACATCAGAACACTGACAGAGATAACATCGGTACACTGACAGAAAAGTACATCGGTACACTGACAGAAAAGTACATCGGTACACTGACAAAGATAACATCGGTACACTGACAGAGATAACATTGGTACACTGACAGAGGATAACATCAGTACACTGACAGAGATAACATCGGTACACTGACAGAGATAACATCGGTACACTAACAGACTGAGAATATATGGAGGAAACCAAGATCTTGATGCATCTGCTTATAACCTTAAATGTGGTTCAAGTTAAATTAGAAATGTGTGAAGATTTTCACCCAAAATATATCACTACTTTACATCTCAAGGTTCTCAAGAGGATGTCATTTGAATTTTTTTCACATCTGACTTGTAAAAATTAAAAGTAATAATTTGAAAATTTGGCTGCACTTCACCCAAGCATGCAACAGGCCAAAATCAATAATCTAGGCCTAGTGGTTCTCCAGAAAAGTCTTTAAAGTTCTTAACATATTTTACCCTTGTTACCATAGCAGTTCCCAGTATCAATAAAAACCAATGAAATTACAGTCCATCAAACTAGTACAATCTTAAAGAACCCCTCACCTCTTCATCAATTTGTTTCTGCTTTGCTTCAAATAATATTTTTTGGAAGTCAGCTTTCTTTTGCTCATCTTGGGTTTTCATCCGAAGGATCTCCTTTGTCATTCCCTCGAACTTTTCCTTGTAATAGTCAGCTGTCTTTTGTTGCTCCGCCTGAGATTTTTCGTGGAAAGCTTGCCAACTCCTATTGGCCTCCACAAGCTAAGTAATAAACATTTACAGTAGCGATCAAGCAAAATGACATTAGCTTACATATAATGATTAAATTATAAATATCATCAACTTACATATAATAACCAAAGTATAAATAATATTAACTTACAAATAATAACCAAATTATAAAGTCCCCTTACCCTCCATCACTTAAACAACAAATTAGAAAAAAAAAGGAAATAGGATTGTGGGTTCAGTCTTGTCTTTTCTCCCATAACAGGTTAATGGTAAAAGAAACATTCACCAGAATCTCAATAGTTCTGTGTAGTTGTAGCTTACAGAATCTAAAACTGGCAAGTAATTTGTTTGTTAATCTAATTGAATATGCACAGATCAACTCATTTTCTATCTTAGGTTAAGATTCTAAGACTCTTTTATATTCATAGGACAAAGAAATACTACTCAAGGAGGAGGATTTCCAAATTATAACCGAGGCGTAATGAAGGTTACACCCAAATTTGGAAACTTTGAGGTCACAACTTGTCTTTCCTGTACACAATCATATGAAAATTTCTTTTACTTTCATTCCAATCCTACGTATTAGATAGAAAATATCAAAAGTATGAAGGAAACTAAGTGGAAGCCACTGGCACAGACGACTTTGGCATGAAAAGCTGTAAAATGTTACCTGTTTATTATGGTCCTCCAACATTTTCACTTCAGATTGATTCTGTAAAAAACAAGGAAGCACAAGCATTTTATCATATCTTAACAGTGTTTTACAAATAGTTTATAAAGTCATGAAATGGTAACTTTCATACATAGATCAGTGGTAAGGTAATATCATATATTTATATCTAAAATAAACCTCCAATTGTAGTAACTAAGTCATAGAAATGTAACCAAAGATTTAACAAATAAGATGTGTTTCAAAATATTACATGGGTCTTCCATGTTTCATCACAAAACATTGATTATGAATGTAGAATAGACAGTTCTCATAAATGTGGTTAATATAATTTACCATAACCTCAGTTCTATATTCTCAGTGACTTACCATAGCCTCAGTTCTATTCCCGACATCCCAATTCGACAACTGGTTCTCAGTGACTTACCATAGCCTCATTCCTATACCCTACATCCCATACCGACACCTGGTTCTCAGCAACTTACCATAGCCTCAGTTCTATACCCTACATCCCATACCGACATCTGGTTCTCAGTGACTTACCAAAGCCTCATTCCTATACCCGACACCCCATACCGACACCTGGTTCTCAGTGACTTACCATAGCCTCAGTTCTATGCACAACATCCCACCCTGGCACCTGGTTCTCTGACAAGGATTGGCCTTGGGTAACATTTCTGCCCTTGTGCATTTCCAACTGCTGAATCTTTTGAAGAAGTTTGGACTTTTCATTGTTCCATTGTTCTTCTTTACTCTGGAAATAGAAAATTAACTCATTTCACAGGTATTCAATGCTTTAAAGAAAATAGCAGGATTAAGTATCAAGACAATTCTAACATGAAATCACTGAAAATTCAGTATATATTTTATTTTAAAACCATTATAGAGAGCAAACAATCCATTCATAAAGTAACATAATTAAACAAGAGGCCCATGGGCCTTAACAGTCACCTGATATATTTATACAGAGAGTTGATTTGGTTTTTAACATGAACAGAAATATTATTCAAAGTTACAAAAAACAATAAAACCACCACATTCAATATCTAGCATACAGATTTAAGACTAAAAAGTATTTGAAACTAGCACCTCCGATTTTAAACAAGGAAAATGAAGAAATTTTAGCACACTGACTCTTTTGGGCCCCACCCTACAGCCCTTGGGGTAGGGCTGGCTCAAAATTTTCAAAGTATCAAACTGTCAACTCAGGGTTATAATTCCAATCAAGTTATTAACATGTAATATTCAAAGTATCATTTGCCATTATAAACCATAATAAATTTTGCCCC